CCTGCTGATCTTCAGAGGGGATAATTTGGTGCTGAAATAAGTGTTGCAGTGAGAATAACTCTTCTGCCTTCAACATTATACAACCTCTGAACAGAAGGATGGAAGAACCAGCCTAAAGCTTGCCACCCTGCTGGGATTTGCAGCCTTCCTATATTACACTTAGCTTTAGATACAGTACAACATAGATTTTAAAGTCATGGACTAGGCAGGAAGTCTTGGATACCATATGACCAATGCGATGTGTAAGTGGGGTTTTTCTCCCCCTTTTTCCCAGTCCTGAAAGCCTAGGCCTTCCTGCCTAGCATAATTGAGTGAGTTTGTATGACAGGGAAAACTGAATTGGAGAGAGCCAAGGAGAGCTAAGGGGTTTAAACTTACTTGCCTGCTGAAGTGAATCGAAGACTCTGTTCTCCAGAAATCTTTTACTCATGACTTTAGGAGACAGAGGACTCGAGTCAAAATGAGGTACTCTGAATTTCAGGGGAAAAGGAAGGATGTACTTGTTCTGAAGAGACAGTTCCACCTCCACCTACCTTGTACTGACTATGCCAAATGCAAACTCCCCAAATGCCTTTATCAGCACTGTTATCTCACAGCTTTAAGCTTTGAAAAATCAGGACTGAGGCTTCTGAGGAGAATGGAGTGTTTAGGCAGTTCAGTTTCCACTGCATCCACAGAAAATACCAGTTATAGATCTGGTCCCAAATCCCTCTTGAAAATGTGATTTTATATGCCTTTGAAAACAGAAGCCTTTATATCCAACCAGGAACTGACATTTCTCTGCTCCCGTTACTCTAGATGAGACTATTGTGCCTCCTGACGTGCCGAGCTACTTGTCTTCACAAGGGACTCTCTCTGACCGGCAGGAAGCCGTCATCCGAGCAGATAACCAACAGCCTAATGGGCACATAGACAGCAATGGTGAGAACCCATTTAATTATTTTTTTCTGTAATGCTGTATCTGAATTTGATAGGAGGAGGGAGAAATCACAGTACAAAGTACTTCTGTGCTTGTTATGAGTTATCTGCAAGATCTTCATAATGAATTCTCTAGCTACTGCATTTATGCAGAACAAGGATCTGTCTTTCAGTTCACAAAGCTATCCTCTCCCAGTAATAAGTGTTCATACAAGCAGAGTGCTTCAGAAACTGCTCAGTCAGGCCCTAAGGATTATTTTTTTGCTAATTTTGGATTAGTTCTTTGGCACCAGAGTTACCTGCAGTTAAGCTGTACTAGAAAATACATTAGCATTGCCTGTCCCTGCCTTCAGGCTTAGAAATTAAATGCTGGGATTTTACAGTATTTAAACACAGCGCGTTATGAAGGAAAAGTTAAGAGTTCTGAACAAAGATTCTCCTGAGATTGCACAGCGTTTATTCTGTTAAACATTAGCTTAAAATTATCTATCATCTCCATTGCTATTTTTTCTCCCTTTCGCAGCTTTTACAGTAGAAATAAGACTAACAAGTCGTTCAGCTGAGAGCAGATGGTTGTAATCTTTAGCCAGATGGTTCGTTTGTTACAGGTATGTGTCAGACTGATGCTGGAAGGTGTCCAGATGTTGAAGCTCCCACCACTGTAGGCTGCAGACAGCCAAAGCTGTGTATCGGCTATAATAAAGACACTTGGAAAACTGAAGACATGGCTGATGGAATGCTTGTTCCAGATAAGACAGGTACAAAACCCATTAATCTGGAAAGGTATTTCGTGTTTGTACAGATCAGAAAGCACTCCAAGTCAGGCAGCATTAACACAAGAAATTGTTACCTTCAGAAAAAAAACCCCAGAATGATTCTCAGGTGTGAGCACAGTAAATTTACTTTCTCCTGCTTGCTTTGATCCTCTATCAAGCTTGGATAGTTTGAATTCGAGCAACTGTCAGAAAGAGGCAGGCTAAAGCTCACGATAGCCATTGCTTGCAGCTGGCTGATCGGTATTTCCATTTGAGCTATTCCTAAAAGTGACAGCACTTTCAAACTGAAGGGGTTAAACGTTTTCATGGTCTTTAAAGGGGCTGTCAACTTAAAAGCTCAGCTTTTTTTTAATTTTCAAAATTTAAAGGTTGTTTTGGGCACTACACCTGCCTCTGCTCTTTGCCAGTTTCTTGGGTGTTACACTCATACTTAGCTATTTTTAGAATGTGTTTTCTGTTCTCATGCTGTATTGTAACATCCACAGAAAAACAGCCAGTGAAAGAAATTTTCTCTCCAGGAGAAACTGTAAAGTTTAATAATGGAAAGTTGTTGAGTGCACTAAGGAAATGAACTTTCAACATTTAGAAACTCCTTCCCGCTTGCTTCTTTGAATTCTGCTCCTCTGTTATTTCCGCTGACAGTAATGACATCTCTTGAGGTAACAACATGAGTTGACAGTGATCCTTGTAAAGCAGCAGCACAAAAATAAGAAAGGTAACTTGGTATTTTAAAGCAGCTACAGGAAAGTTCCACTTTATATTTCTACCCTGACTAGAAAGTCTGGAAAAGGAAGTAAGTGCACAGTTTATTTAAAAACAAGAAAGTCACAACTTCTTGGGAGTAAAAAAAGCCAGCTACTAAACCTTTAGTGATAGCTACAGAGTTCTGAAAAGCACAGGTATTTACTAGCCCTGTATAAACCCGAGAAATGTCCATATTACTTAGTGAGATTCCCACACTGCCGAGGAACAGAGGAGCTCAACAGCTGCCTTTTCCTTCTGCAAGTTGTGTGCTTCAGTGCCGACAGCTTCCAGCTGGTTCATCTTCGTTTGTCACTGTTTTCCCTTCCCCCATTAAAGGCTATGGCCTGCCAGTTGTGTGCACGGACTGCAGCGGCAGCACGGACAGCATGAACCTCCACATTTACCCCAAGGAGTCGGAGTACTACTCGGAGAGCCTTAAGACTATGGATAATACCTACCCAAACGCACTGAGCAGGAAGAGGGGTGCAGGCACCAGCCTCCTTCATCCTCAGCCGTGCAACGGGATTGCCAGCGGCAAGAGGATGGAAACAGACGGGACCCTCTACCCCAGCAACCACGACAGAATAAGACCTGGCAGCATGACCAGCCCGCTGCTTGCAGACAAACAGGGTATGTCTTTCCTTGGGGATGTGTCTCTCCCCAGATGCAATATGGTGATAGCATATTGCTATCTGGGTGATAGCAGAGCCCTGTTTTCTCCGTCAGCTTTTGTAACTGGCTCAAGGGCAGGAACGATAGCGGCAGGGCTGGTTTTATGCGGAACGCTGGCAGGCTGAGCATCAGCTAACCGCGCTGGTTCTTTGGTTTCTTCTTGCAGGCTCTTCACAAACCGTAGCAAAGCCTTCAGAGCTTAACAACCTTAACTTGGTGAGAGCTTCACCGGCAGGAGGGTCGTTAAAGCAATTGAACGTGCTTCCTGAAATTTCCCCGACACTACTGGATCTGCAGAGCGAAGCAGAGGTGAAACAGGCTCTCCTCTCCAACGGCTACGCGCCCAAGCTGGGCGACTCCCTTCATGAGCTGAGGCCACCGAACGGATCGCTGGACTGAGAGGACAGACTGCCATGTGCAAATTAACAAACGTGCTATTATTTTTTTTAATTTTTTTTTTTTGCACAGAGTATATAGGCTACTTACTTCTACCTCAAATCTTGAACTGATGACCTGTCAAAGGCAAACAACTGAGGTATGAGAAACAAGCTTGTATGGGGAACAAACTCCTGTTCGAGCGTCATCTGTTTGTACATAGTTTAAAACTTCCCTGAGAAGTATGAAGCGTTCAAAAGTTGACTTGCATATGAAGCACATAAATGCAAGGGATTATTGTGTAAAGAGAAAAGTATTTGATACAATTGTACATAAGAGTTTTCATATATAAATATATATAT